CGGGCCCGTGTCGCAACGAACCTGCCCACCCGTGCATCGCCCCATGTCGCTCCCGTGTACCATGCCTGGCTGGCTCACTCCCTCCGCCGCAATCCCTGGCAGCGAGCCCGTCGTCGGCGATAGGTCTCGGATTTTGGCGAAATGGCAGGGGAACGAAAGCACATCACCTATGTCGATGGATTCGCCCTCGCGATGGTAACGTGCATCCACGATGACGCCTTGCTTGTCCAGGAGCACGAGCCGCAGCGCCCCTCTTCGAAGAACGATCTCCCCGTCGGCGAACCTGAGAGTGCGTGTCGTGAGATCGGCGGCGAAGGAGACTCGCCATCGCATGTCGGCGAAGGACATATATACTCCCTCCGTCCCGAAATACTTGTCAAAGAAATGGATAAAATTGGATGTATCTATAACTAAAATATGTCTAGATTCATTCATTTCTCCGACAAGTATTTCAGGACGGAGGGAGTACTTAATATGGTCTTTGGTTTTTAGAAAAAAAAGTACGCGTACTACTCTAGCATCTACGAGATATCATATATATACACATACCTAGAGAATGATCTCCACTAACTTATTTTAGCTCAACGTGCAAGCATACTACGTCAGCATAAAATTATGAATTAAATAAGGCACACCACAACATGAAACCATGCATTAAAACATATTTTCATTATATTATTTTACTCACATTGAATAAATACTACATCTGTCTCAAAATATAAGGCGTCTCAAAATATAAGACTTTTTAAGGCTAAACTGGCCTACAAAAGCTAATATTTTGAGATAGAGTTAGTATAGTACGACTGTGCGTAATCAAACATAATAAGCTGTGTATACTGTTTTATTTCGGTTCATGTATTATTAATCATATATGTGACCTCCTCCGACCCGACCCGTGTCGCCCCCCACGGGCGGCACGGGGGAAACCTAGCCGCCGCCGGTAGCCCGCCCCCTCCGCTCAACCCTGTGTCGCCGCCGCCGGGGGGCCGGCGGCGAAGCTGCGCCGGTCCCAGGGATGGCGGCGGCGGGGCTTGAGTGCCGCTTCCTTTCTGAGGGTGTTACTGTTGAAAATCATCGACCTCCATGTGATGTCAATCGTTGGTGCGGATATGGTCTCAGTTGTAGTTTGTCGATTGATGATTTCATTGTTTTGGAGCTTTTTCCTTTTTTTGTCCACGCCTATGCATAGCTTTTGGTCTTGTGACCTTGCTAGTTGTTGGCATATTTTTGCGTGTGTGTTTGGTTGGCTGTGTGCATCCTTATTATGCAGAGGCTGGGTGTGTGTGCTCATATTATATTTTTTTGATACTTCATTTGAGCCAATAAAATTCACCCTTTATCGAAAAAATGTGTTATTAATCTAAATATTTATTTCACACAATTAAATCTCGTTGAAATATATTACAGTATCATCAACATAGCTTGAAAAATGATCTTATATTGTGAGACGAAGGAAGTAGTAATAACTTCCAACGAGAAAAGGGAATAGAAGAACTATATCAAAGAACCACACTCTATCTACAATTCGCATGACGCGAAGGACCTATGGATTAATTAATCATCTTCATGCACATGTCTACGAAACCTTGAACCCGACCAACCGATCCAAGCTGCCCTTCCGCGTGTACCTAGTGGCCGGCGCCCCTTCGGCTGGGCCCGGCCAGCAGCCTCGCCGTGAGCATCTCCCGTCTCTCCGCCGCCGGGTACACCGCCAAGTAAGCCCCACCGTCCCCGCTCCTCTCCGCCCGCTCCGGCCGCGCTGCGCCGACGAGGCTCATGCCACTTATCAGAACGACGACGACCACGAGCACGGCGAGAGCCAGGCGCCGGACCGACGATGCCATCACAGAGCTCCGGAGAAGTGAAGGTGGCGTTGGTGTAGTTTTGCGATTGACTGAACTCTGCAGAAGTCAACTATGATGGGTGTTAGGTCGCGCCTGAGGTTGCGACGGTGGTTTGGTCGGTAGTGCGCGTGAATGTGTGCGAGCTTGAGTATTTATAGAGGTGGCGTGGTGTGGTGATGAGTCGGTGAGACGGTGAGAGGGTGACGTGTTTGCTGATCGAGCTCGGAGGATGTGTAAGGTGGAAAGGGAGGTTCCAATGGCGCGTCAGCTGAGCTGAGCTGAGAGCCCATGAAAAAAAAAGTGTAGATGTGTAGTGACCGAACGTGCTGCTGCTCGTTGGAATCGAGAATTTTCCTTGTTGGCCGGCAAAATCAAGACGCAAGACCTACCTTTTTTTGAGACACAAGACGCAAGACCTACCTAGCAGACGGTGTTTCCGGCTAGTCTCGCAGCCGGGGGCGAGCAAACATGACATCGCACTAATTATGTTCTGTCCGTTGCTTGCGAAGAAGGGGAAAGGGTCTGGGCTTTTGCGATTTTGGGTTCTTTTCGTGAAGATGGCATCGGTCCCGAGTCCCGACCGTAAGTAAAGTGGCCGCACATACGAATCTGACGACCGGCCGGGTCGTTGTTACCAGTCAGCCGTCAGACAAACGAAAGTTCCGGGAGCGTGCACGCCTTCGGCGTCTCGTTGAGAAACGCTTTTGGTTTTCACGTGTTCCCATCGTCGAAATGCTGCAACGCGAGAGAAAGGATGAACATTGATCTCAGCGCTCAAGAGTCAAGATCAAGAGCTCTCGTCGTTGTCACGGGAGGTCATCGTGCAAGTGACGTCACTGACATATTCGACCCGGCACGAGGTGTTTTTTTTTTTGAGTTGTTGATTGTTTTTGAGATAGCAATCAACAACTCAAAAAAAAAAAAAGAATTCTGAAACATTCTTTTGAGATTGTCAGTTATGCAACTAGACAGCTTGAGCAAGTCAAGTTCAAACAAATTGGAAAATAATCACGGCTCGAATTACGTTTCAGGGAGAAAACATATTGCAAGTGCGTGCACCAGTCTAGGTCATACTTGTACAGTCTTCGTACTAACAATTTCCACTGGCGAAGAAAAGGAGGGGAGATTACAAGGAGTCATTCTACTGCAGTTGGTACGAAGTGAAGGGCCTATGGACTCACTAAACCAATTCAGATCATTTCTCCGTGTACTACGTGTCTACAAAACCTTGCAAGCCGATCCAAGCAGTCCGTCGAGGGCGACCTACGTACGCAGCTAGTGGCCGGCGCCCCTGTTGCTGGGCCCGGCCGGCAGCCTCGCCATGAGCATCTCCACCGTCTCCGTAGCTTTCTCCGCCACCACCACCACCGTCGCTGCCGGGTCGTCCCTGCTCCTCTCCACCGGCATCGGCCGCGCCGCGCCAGCAAGGCCTGCTCCGGCGAACAGAACGACGACAACGAGCGCCGCGAGTGCCACCGGCCGCTGCCCCGACGATGCCATCATGCACAGAACAGAGCTGACGAGAATAGTTCAAGGCGGTGTAGACGTGTAGTTTAGCGCCGGATCTCTGAAGGAAAGGTAGGCGGTGCGTGCGAGTAGTGTACTAGTGTGTGCTACAGGGGTATTTATAGAGGTTGCGGTCTGGTGATGGCGGATCGGTGAGCTTGACGTGTAGAAGAATGGAGATGGTGAATGGAAAGGAGGTGAGCTGAGGTCATGGGAAATGACGTGCGGCCCGCACGGACCAGCGCCACCGTTCCTTCCTTGGGCCTGCAAGTCAAGACGTGGCAGCCGGCAGGCGCCGCTAGCCATTTCCAGCCGATGGGTCTCACAGTCACAGGCTCACAGCTGGGCGTGTAGTGTAGAATCACCAAGTAGCAAAACTGACGCTAGCTCTCACAGCTGGGATTCGATTCGTGAAGGAGACGACCTCGGTGGTGAGTGGTGACCCTGAAGCGGGCAAGCGAATCTGACGGGCGCGCGGTCGGTGTTATTTTAGCCAGCGGAAGAACCCGAACTCAGATATACGAACCCAAAGTCGCTAGAAAGGCAACAGAGTCGACCGGTTGATTACTCCAGTCCGTACGGACGGCAAGAAGAAGAGGTCAGGTTGAAACTTGCCTCCGTGTCCTGCGCATTTTGGTTCTCTGAGATACTCCGGTCCACGCACCTCAACCACGGCACGGGCAAATTTGACAGTAGTCTTCAGGCACATGCTCTCCTCCATCCTGACCATCACACCAACGACGTCTGCAGCAGTACCAAGTGTAAGCATCCTCAGAGCAGCCATGCACTTCTGCTAAGTCGAGAAAGAGAGTTGGCTGCAGCAATCCCTTCTCAGCTTGAAGTAGTCGTCGTGTGCCTCCACTCCCTTCACAATGCGCAAAACAATGGTTTCCGCATGCGAAGACGGCGACAAAACCATGGATTACCCAGGAAAGCAGGTGTGGGAGCAAAGTAGTCATTGTACAATAGCTTTGCTGCAGACACCCTATCCCGATTGATCACTCTTCTCCTTTTGATTGAGCCCTTGAAGTTGAAAATATGTTCCACTTGCCGGTCCATTTCCTCTTGCATGCTCATGAGCATGATCATGTCCACTTCTCTGTCCGAATCCGACGAATCAAAGAACTCATCTTGAATCATTTGGTCAAGCTCCGTCGGTCCATTCTCGTCCGATGAAGCATCGGAATCCATCATTTACCTAACAAAATCACAATAATTCCGGTCGGTCAATGTATCGGACACATCAAGCGCAAGGTGGAGCCGGAGAGTTGCCGGACATACCACGGTAGAGTCTAGGTCGGCGACGACGTCCCCCGCGGTGAGGACGGGAGCGCTCTTCCGGAGCTGGCGGCGGAGAGCTTGCGAACGGCTGCGGAGCGGGCGCGCCAGCGGAGCGCGAGACGGACGATGTGGAAGAGGAAGAGAGGAGAGAGCAAATGGATCCGGCTGGTCTGCGGGATGGATTTGGTGCAATTTTAGGTGGGGCCACACCGTCAGGCCGACGTGGCGGGCTTGCCCGGGCGCCCCCATATACGGCCCGTATTTGGGCTGGATACGGGGGGTGCCGGTCAGCCCGGACGTTTAAGGGCCGTTTGAGGGGCCCGTCCGGGTCAAAAAATCGTGACCGGGTAGTGACCGGGCGGCCCGTCCGGACGTATGAGGCGGGTTTGAGAGGCCCAGTTGTAAATGCTCTAAGCCCCCTCTCAGCAGTATAAGGTACCGTAAAAACTCTTATTATATATGCGAGGCACGTGAGGACACACAAAATTAAACGACCAGTGATCCATGCAACCCCATACACTCACCCTGGACTTCCCCACTAGCCACGCCAATCTACAATGCTTCACCTTCCAATCATTTCATTCCATCACTGCATCAAAAGCCCTTTGAGAGCATCTCTAACAGAGTCGTCACATAGGCATGATCAGCATAATAATCATCAATATCGTGATTTTTGGCCTAAAAGTCCACTCTAACAGAGTTGCCATTGCCCTTTGACCCTCGGTCATCATAATTTATGGAGTACGTTGTATATACGATTCACGAGGCTTCGTATTTGGAGACTTGGGGCCTCGATATCCATCAGCCAACCGCTAGCGCGGGAGGGAAGTTCAGCTCCCTCCTCACCTTGTGAAATCTTCTACACAACTTCTATTTTTGTAGACTTTGTTTGAAGGAAATATGCCCTAGAGGCAATATTAAAGTTATTATTTATTTCCTCATATCATGATAAATGTTTATTATTCATGCTAGAATTGTATTAACCAGAAACATAATACATGTGTGAATACATAGACAAACATAGTGTCACTAGTATGCCTCTACTTGACTAGCTCATTGATCAAAGATGGTTGAGTTTCCTAACCATGGATATGAGTTACCATTTGATCAGTGGGATCACATCATTAGGAGAATGATATGATTGACTTGACCCATTTCGTTAGCTTAGCACTTGATCGTTTAGTATGTTGCTATTGCTTTCTTCATGACTTATACATGTTCCTATGACTATGAGATTATGTAACTCCCGCTTACCGGAGGAACACTTTGTGTGCTACCAAACGTCACAACGTAACTAGGTGATTATAAAGGTGCTCTACAAGTGTCTCTGAAGGTACTTGTTGAGTTGACGTATTTCGAGATTAGGATTTGTCACTCCGATTGTCAGAGAGGTATCTCTGGGCCCTCTCGGTAATGCACATCACTATAAGCCTTGCCAGCAATGTAGTTAATGAGTTAGTTACGGGATGATGCATTACGTAACGAGTAAAGAGACTTGCTGGTAACGAGATTGAACTAGGTCTGATGATACGACGATCGAATATCGGGAAGGTAACATACCGATGACAAAGGGAACAACGTATGTTGTTATGCAGTTTGACCGATAAAGATCTTCGTAGAATATGTGGGAGCCAATATGAGCATCCAGGTTTCGCTATTGGTTATTGACCGGAGACGTGTCTCGGTCATGTCTACATAGTTCTCGAACCCGTAGGGTCCGTACGCTTAAAGTTAGATGACGGTTATATTATGAGTTTATATGTTTTGATGTACCGAAGGTAGTTCGGAGTCCCGGATGTGATCACGGACATGACGAGGAGTCTCGAAATGGTCGAGACATAAAGATTGATATATTGGACGACTATGTTCAGACACCGGAATGGTTTCGGGGAGTATCGGGCTTATACCAGAGTACCGGGGGGTTACCGGAACCCCCCGGGGAGACTAATGGGCCTATTGGGCCCTAGTGGAGAAGAGGAGGGGCGGCCAAGGGCGGTCGCGCGCCCCCTCTCCCC